TGTCCCATTCCCATCCCAACGTGTCCCATTCCCATCCCAACGTGTCCCATTCCCATCCCAGGTGCTCCATTCCCATCCCAATGTGTCCCATTCCCATCCCAAAGTGCCCATTCCCATCCCAATGTGCCCCATTCCCATCCCAGTGTGTCCCATTCCCATCCCAAAGTGCCCATTCCCATCCCAATGTGTCCCATCCCCATCCCAATGTGTCCCATTCCCATCCCAATGTGTCCCACTCCCATCCCCAGTGGTACCAGGTGGTGGATGCCGTTCCAGGTGTGGTGGGACATTCCCAGCCCCATTCCCAGCCCCATTCCCATCCCCATGTCCCCACCCCAGGTGTGCCAGGGCTGTACCAGGTGGCGGATGCCGTTCCAGGTGTGGTAGGACACTGGCAGTGCCAGCAGGAACTTGGCTGAGCAGAGCAGGGCGGGGCCGAGGCTCAGGGCCCTCACCTGGGCCAGGTAGTAGGGGAAGGGCTCGGGCATCAGCAGCGCGGCCAGGCCGAACAGGGACACGCCTGGGGGGGCACCCGGGGGGTCACACCCACTGTGGGGACACGGCCCAGGCCACCCCAGACACCCCCCGTGTCCCCAGTGTGGGGGTGACACAGCCAAGGCCACCCCCTGCATCTGCCAGGACCCAAACGGGGCTGAGCCCGACCCTCGAACGACCCCGAGGGGTGTCCCAGGCGTGTCCCACCATGTCCTATCATGTCCCAGGCGTGTCCCATCATGTCCCATCATGTCCCAGGGGTGTCCTGGGGTGTCCCAGGCGTGTCCCATCATGTCCCATCATGTCCCAGGGGTGTCCCCTCTGGTCCCCCCCGTGTCCCCCCCCTCCCCACACACCCACCCAGGCTGAGGGCGACGCCGGTGCCGCGGTGGGTGATGGACATGGCCATGGGCAGGGACCACCTGCAACGGGAAGCACACGGAGTTATCCCACAAAACCCACGGCAGGGGGCCCTGGGGGGGCTGCCCGGGGGGTTTTGGGGTATACCCAGGGCGTTTTGGGGTGCCCAGGGGGTGGATTTTGGGGCGTCTCACTTGTAGATGGTGACGTGAGGGGACAGGGGCCGGTTGGACCTGGTGTTCTTCTCCCAGAAGCGACTCATCTCCTCCCTGGCCGTGCTTCCCATGGGGATAACACTGGGAAAACAGGGATAACGGGGTGTGGGGGGAGGAATTGGGAAGGGTCTGACCCCCCCTCAACAACTCTTCACCCCCCAAACCCAAGGAATTCTTCCCAATCCCAGCAGGGGGAAAGGGGAAATAAACGGGATTTGGGGGGGGAGGGTGTCCAAAATCTCCCCCTCCCCCTGGCTGGGGGATGTCCTGGAAACACGGGAATTGTGGCCAAAAATATTCCTTGGATGGATCCCTCTGGGACAGAACTTCAGCCCAGTTGCTGCCAGGCTGTCCCAGTCTCTCCCAGTCGCTCCCAGTAACTCACTGTTGCAGGGACGGGCCGGGGCCCAGACGGGCCAGGAGGCAGCGCCGCCCAACCCCTCTGGAAAAGAAGATGAAAAGGCTTGGGAATGACACAAAAAACGGGATGGGGGATGACACTGGGAGGGAAGGGGGTCTGGGGGGGCCACGGGAGGGGTTTGGGGGGTGACACGGGGGGAGCACCGGCCGTGACACCCCCCAGACCGCCGTGTCCCCCTGGCACACCCCGTGTCCCCCCCACGTCCCCCCGGTGTCCCCCAAGACCCCCCAAACCCCCTCAGTGTCCCCCGCTCCCCTCCGGTGTCACCTCAGCGCCAGCGCCGCCATCTTGGAGCGGCCGCGCCGGAAGCGGAAGTGACGTCACTTCCGGTCCACGGCGCGTTCGGAGGGGTAAAAATGGAATAAAAATGGGATTAAAATGGGATAAAAATTGGATAAAATGGGATAAAATTGGATAAAAATGGGATAAAACGTGGAAAATGGGATAAAAATAGAATAAAAATGGGATAAAACGAGGAAAAAATTGGGTTAAAAATAGAACAAAAATGGAATAAAAGTGGAAAAAATGGGATAAATCAGGGTGAAAGTGGGATAAATCGAGGTAAAAATGGGATAAAAGTGGGGTAAATGGGAGTTAAAATGGGGTAGAAATGGGATTAAATGGGATTAAAATGGGTTAAAAGTGGGATAAAGGGGTATTAAAGTGGGGTAAAAGTGATGTAATAATGGGATAAAAATTGGGTACAAATGGGGTTAAAATGGGATAGAAATGGGGTGAATCGGGGTAAGAATGGAATGGAAACGGCGTGAAAACGGGATAAAAACTGGGGACAAATATTTCGGTTAAAAATGGGATAAATTTGGTTAAAAAAGGGATAAAACTGGGAGAAATTGGAACTAAATCTGGGATAAACCTGGGATAACAGCAGGATTCGATCCAGGATAAACTTTGGAGAACGCTGGGGTAAAACCTGGGATCAACCTGGGATAAAGCCCCAGGACTGTCCACAATAAACCTGCCAGAAATTCAGTAGAAACGCCCTCTCTGCCCTCAAAAAAAACCCTAACCCCCCCTCAAGCCCCCCCCAAACTGCCCCAAACTCCCCAAAATTCCCAAATACCCCCCAAAAAACCACCCCAACCCCTCCCAA